TCCCATCCAGACCCTGACAGCCTCCAGGCACTGGCACATCACTTCTACCGCTTCACTGAGTTGGCACGGTTTTTCAGTGTGTGATGGCTTCATTGCTCCCCCCACCCTCTTATCACATTTTCTGTACTATGTTTTGTACTCTTACGCGTTGATCATTCAATGAAAAGCGTTACTGATTCCTTGATGTTGTTTTGTAGAGGTTCTCCTTTGAAAGAATGGATCAGCTGCGCCAGCTGCAGAACATCATCCAAGCCACTAGTAGAGAAATCATGTGGATCAATGACTGCGAGGAGGAAGAACTTCTGTATGATTGGAGTGACAGAAACACTGAAATTTCAAGGAAGCAAGAAACCTTCTCAGTGAGTTAATGATACTCACAAATAAAACTCATTCGAGAACTTAATGGTTCGGTTATTTTTCTTTTTGAAAGATTGCACACCCTGTTGTCTTTTGAAATGCAGAATAATCTGGTTATTGGTAGAAGTTTTAAATTCTGCAATACTTCGAAAGGTTTTTACTAGTTTCAAGATGGAAAACCTCTTTAGCCATTCTGAGAGTTTATAAGAAAAGGAGCATAATGATTGATGCTTCCTCTTTACAAGCCTCTTTCAGAAAATGTGCCCTTTCTAGCATTGGAGAAGGTCAAGGCTTTCATTGGGAGAGATGCTTCTTCTTTTTTTTTTTTAAAGGGAAGATGAAAAACTTTAGGAGAGGAAATCATCAATCTGGGAATCAGCATAAATCTATTCAACTTTATTGTCCATGCTAGTGTGATGATCGTATTGAGGTTTTAAAGCAGATTTTAATTTAATTAATTACAATTTCATTTGGAACTTCCGCTCTAATGTTAGGAGAAATTGGACACGGGCGTTCAATTTCAAAATAGAAGGGACACCACAGTGAAATAAAAGAAAAACAAGTGGAGGAAATGAGATCAAAGAGAGAAGAGAGGAATGAATCCTCAACATAGGCTTGGAGACAGATAGGATGCAGCTTATAGTTGAATGTGATTGATAGATATGGGTGATATTTTGAGTGCTTATTTCGACAGAAGTGTTCCTAGCATCGCAGAGAAGAAATTGCCTGCTGGGATTGCAAACAGAACACAATTATATAAAAACTTAATAAATATTAAATGTACCGATCCCTTTTTCCTATTGAAACTGAGTTTAAATCCAAGTCCTTGCCTACTTACAGAAACGCATGAGCCAGCTCGAAGTTAAAGAAAAGGAACTCAATAAACTTAAACAAGAATGTGATCAGTTGGTGCTCAGCCAGCACCCAGCTTCTGACAAAATTGAGGTATGTTTTCAACTTCCTACATTTTTATCCTGAGATTATTTTTGGAACGACATGACATTTCATTGAAGTGAAAGCTGGTAATGAAGTCTTGTCCCCCGAACTGTACTATCAGACAGCCTCTTTTGATCAAGAAGTAATCTTGAAAATAGCAATAGCAATAGCAGTTAGACTTATATATCGCTTCATAGGGCTTTCAGCCCTCTCTAAGTGGTTTACAGAGTCAGCATATCGCCCCCACAGTCTGGGTCCTCATTTCACCCACCTCGGAAGGATGGAAGGCTGAGTCAACCTTGAGCCGGTGAGATTAGAACCGCTGAACTGCGGATAATGGTCAGCTGAAGTGGCCTGCAGTACTGCACCCTAACCACTGTGCCACCTCGGCGCAGAGCTAAATATGCAAAGCTAAATGCAAATATGAGGGGCCCATTGCTAATTTTCAAAAGCACACTTTAGAACCAGCTACTGTAACAGAAAAATGTTAACCTGTTAAATCGTAATTAACACGGATCCTTAATGTTGGGCCATTTTGGATTTGTAGAGGAAGCTTTACATTCTCCACATAGTGACCAACTAGTCAACTAGTAACTGTAAGATGAACAATAGGATAAAAAATGCTAAGAGGAAGATATTTTTCTTTGTGCATTCTGGTTTTCATTGCCTTTCCTCAATGGGGCTTCTATAAGCAAACTAGGAAAAAACGACAAGTCAGATTTTATTAATAGGCAAAGCAGAAATCCGGTCATGGATGTAGACTTGATTTTTGACTCTTGGTCCCTTCCAGCTAAGGTAGATAATTTTGAAGATTAAAAAAATGAGTTGCAAGCCGAAAAATAAACCAAATTACATTATCAGAATTCAGAACCAATGGCAATTTGTTTAAATGTGCAGGCCTATATGGATACATTACAAACTCAGTGGAGTTGGATTCTTCAGATCACCAAGTGCATTGATGTGCATCTCAAGGAAAATGCAGCCTACTTTCAGGTATGTATTGGTTTACAGAAGCTATAAATAATTTATAAAAGTACTTTTTATCATTTCAACCCATATTGGCTCTGTTTAGTTAGAAAAATGCAGATAAATTAGATTCTAACCAATAATTGTGCGTACTAACTGTCTTAATGTAAGCATTTTTAATTTGGCTTGCAGTAATGATGACTTGGGGGGGACGCAATGGCTCAGTGGCTAAGACACTGAGCTTGTCGATTAGAATGGTCAGTGGTTCGTTGACGCATAACGGAGTGAGTTCCCGTTACTTGTCCCAGCTTCTGCCAACCTAGCGGTTCGAAAACATGTAAAAATGCAAGTAGAAAAATAGGGACCACCTTTGGTGGAAAGGTAACAGCGTTCCATGCGCCTTCGGGAGTTGAGTCATGCCGGCCACATGACCACAGAGACGTCTTCAGACAGCGCTGGCTCTTCGGCTTTGAAAGGGAGATGAGCACCGCCCCCTAGAGTCAAGAATGACTAGCACATATGTGTGAGGGGAACCTTTACCTTTAATGATGACTTGTGGAATATAGCATCTAAAGGTAGATTCAGTTTTTAAAGATTATACAGTGGTACTTTGGAACTCAGCTGCTTTGAAACTCACTGAATTTGGTACTCAACAAACTCACTGTTTGGTACTCAACACACAAGCTAGAATTTGTTGGTGTCGGCTGCCTTGTGACTCATTACATTATTCCTTATGGAAAAACATTGTTTACTACTCATCATTATTAGTACACAATGTGTCTCCTGGAACCAATTCACATTGAGTACTGAGGTACCACTGTATATAACACAATAATACAACAATACAATAGCAGAGTTGGAAGGGACCTTAGAGGTCTTCTAGTCCAAATCCCCTGCCTAGGCAGGAAACCCTATACCATTCCAGACAAATGGCTATCCAACATCTTCTTAAAGACTTGCAGTGTTGGGGCATTCACAACTTCTGGAGGCAATTTCTGTTACACTGATTAATTGTTCTAACTGTCAGGGAATTTCTCCTCAGTTCTAGGTTGCTTCTCTCCTTGATTAGTTTCCACCCATTGCTTCTTGTCCTACCCTCAGGTGCCTTGGAGAATAGTTTGACTTCCTCTTCCTTGTGTCAACCCCTGAGATATCAGAACACTGCTATCATAGTCCTTCTTTTCATTAAACTAGACATACCCAGTTCCTGCAACTGTTCTTCATGTGTTTTAGTCTCCAGTCCCCTAATAATCTTTGTTGCTCTTCTCTGCACTCTTTCTAGAGTCTCCACATCTTTTAGATCGTCTTCAGTAACCTTCTTATTATGTATTATGTTCTCATACATCTATATTCTTGAAAAAGCAGTGCATTGATATTCTTAACCTCTTGCATTTTATATGGGGCATCTCAAAAGTCTTAGTGCAGTTTTAATCTGCATTGCAGTAAGACTTTGGGGGATACCCTGTATATCCCACGAAAACCCAAGATACGAACGAGACTGTTAAATGTGTCTTTTTGTTCCATGTGTAGTTTTTTGAGGAAGCCCAATCGACTGAGAACTACTTGAAGAATTTGCAGGATGTCATCAGGAAAAGGTTCATCTGTGATAAAAATATGTCCTTGCAAGTTCTGCTGGAGCAGATTAAAGAATTAGAGGTATGGATGCATCTTGTCTGTTATTGCACCACAAACGCTCAGCAGTCTGTATAGGTAGTCCTCAACTTGTGACGGCAATTCGGTCCAGAATTTCTGTTGCTAAATGATGCAATCCCGGTACGACTGCACCATTTAGCAATAGCAAGTCATGAAGTTGCCATTCAATACCTAGATCCTATATTGTTTGGCAAGGCAACTTCCTGCTGGTTTCCCACAACCAAAATCGGTAGGGAAGTCAGCAGGAAGCTGCAAATCCCAGGCTGGCAGGCGAGTTAGTGACTGTTGCCAGATAGGGATGGGAGCAAAGAGGTGCAGGAGAGGGTTGGTGCGGTTGTATATATATATGTGTGTGTGTGTGTGTGTGTGTTGGTGCGGTTGTATGTATATATATATGTGTGTGTGTGTGTGTGTGTGTGTATGTGTGTGTATATATATATATATATATATATATATATATATATATATATATNGCTCATTCGACGGCGCGGTTTTGTCACCACGGTTTAGTCAGGCGCGCTTTTGTCATTCGCGCATTTGTGATGGAACCCACTCCAGGCACCCCCAAGTGACGTCATGCTGGCCATGTCCACCCCAGGCCCCCCGCAAGGTCAAACACAACCCTGATGTAGCCTTCAATGAAATTGGGGTTTGTTTGACGCCCCTGGTCTAGAAGCACCAAATTCCTATGACTATTTTCCATATGTTTTAGCCTCCAGGCCCCTAATCATCTTTGCTGCTCTTCTCTGCACTCTTTATAGAGTCTCAGCATCTTTTTTTACATCGTGGCAACCAAAACTGGATGCAGGATTCCAAGTGTGCCTTACCAAGGCATTATAAAGTGGTATTAACACTTCACGTGATCTTGATTCCATCCCTCTGTTTATGCAGCCTAGGATTTTCGCTAGCGTTTGATTCAGTTGCTACTGTAGTCATTTCGTCTGGAGGAAAAGCCATTCATACAGCATTTTTCCTCCACACTTTCTCTGAAAGCTGTGGCACACGAACAAACACACACACACAAACAATCATTTTCACACTGTGGGATGGTTTCTCACATCCTGGTGGAGATCCAGGCTCACTTCTCCTCTGCACAGTTTTGAGGCCAGAGAGAGAGACAACCTGGTGCCTGGATATTTCTTTTATTAACTATTTCCATTAGTATCCAGTTTGTTCTATCCTCTTATCGCCTCTAATGATTAAATAAAATACAACAAAACAACAGTAAAATGGAAATCGTTTCAAAGCCTCCACTTTACAAAACAGCTGAATTTGTGGCCTTGGGAGGAATTCTGCTTGAAAGCAAAGCTGTTGACTTCATTTACATTCTTGTACCTCCTACCTGAGTAAAGGGAGTCCTCGGGTTGTGACCTCAGTGGAGCCTAAGATTTCCGTTGCTAAGCGACGCAGTTGTTCAAAGTGAGTTTTGCCCCATTTTGTGACCTTTCTTGTCCCTGTTGTGTGACCTCAATCGCTGCAGTTGTTAAGTCAGTAAGACAGTTGTTTATGATCATAATCGTAAAATACACTCATCATCTTCTACATACATACATACATACATACATACATACATACATACATACCTCTGTGTGTGTGTGTATGTATATGTGTGTTTGTTCCAGCTCTGGAATACCTAGAGCAATTTCAACCAAACTTGGTACACAGATGACTTACCCTCTGGAGACAAATACTGTGGGGGGTAAAAATGCCCCAACACCCCTCGGGGTGTATGTTCTGTTAAGATGCAGCCTGTTGTGCCTTTAAATCTTGGGGTCTTGGAGTCCTAAAGGGACAACCATTTAAATAGGAGCCAGCCGTGTGCAGCAGCTGCCAAAAAAGCCAACACAGTTCTAGGCTGCATCAACAGAGGGATAGAATCAAGATCACGTGAAGCGTTAATGCCGCTTTATAAGGCCTTGGTAAGGCCACACTTGGAATCCTTGCATCCAGTTTTGG